ACGTGCTCCTCTTGCCCCCAGGCGAGCGCTCTGCTGCGGGGAGGCCCCTCCGCGCGCCCGGCGCAGGGAAACATGTCCCGGCGGAAACAGACCACTCCAAATAAAGTGCACTGTGAGTATTGCGCCGGGTGGGGGTGTGCCGGGCCCGTGGGAGGGGCGGGTGGCGGTCCAGCTGGTGGCCGGGGTCTGGGAGAGGTGGAGGTCAGGAGCGGCCACGCTCTGGGGCCGGCGCAGGCCCAGGGCAGCAGCACATGCTCGCGCTGGGCGTTGGCGCGGCTCCCGCGTGTGCAGGAGCGGTGGCGTCCCAGGAGACGCAGCGTCCAGCACCGTGGGCCACAGGGAACATCTGGGAGGTGTCCTGAGCGCGCAGCTGGGAGCCAGGGTTGCCTGGGTTCGGCTTCCCGCTCCGCCAGACTCGTCGCAAGCCACATGAGCTGCCTGTACCTCTGCTTTCCTCTGGCAGGAGGGCAGAGATCGAGCCCTGCCTCGCAGGGGCTGGGCAGGCGGCTCTTCGGTGAGCAGAGATGCGAGGTGTTGGATTCTGTTCTCTTCCAGCTGGGAGAAAAGCCCTCTGTCTCTCAGCAATGTCAAGCCCCAGCGTTTGATGCTGAGACAGGTGGAGTCGCTGCATGTCAGCGCTGTAGGCAGACACGGAATGAGATATCTGACGCTGGGAGGGAGCCAGACAGACAGACCGACCTGGCGGTGAATTGAGCGCTGCACGTTGCTGGTGCCGATTGCAGCCGAGGGGTGGGGGAGCTGTGCTGGCACAAGCGGGCAGCCCTGCAGCAGGGGTGCGCACACGCGGGGCCGACCGGAGCCTGTTATGGCTGTGCTTTTCCTAGGGAAAAGTGGAGGCAGGCGGCATGCCGCAAGGTGGGGCGCTGCTGGGGTGTCGGGACTGGTAGGGGTCTAGGACGGAGGGCTCAATGCTAAGCTGTGTGAGCTCTAGCGACTGCCTGACTTTGCTGATGCTGCTGGCTTGCATGCCTCTGTTCCTCTCTGCTGTCTCTATGGGTAAGGCAATAGAAACGTACACGGGTGTCTGCGAAAGTCAGCACGTGTCTTGGACACTGTGACGCAGGCCTCAGACTGGGGGGTGGAAGCACACACGGTCCCATCTGGCGAGGGGAGGGAGGGCAAGTAGCTTTCCCCGGGGCAGTGCTAAGGATGCCTCCTGTTCCTGGCCTTCTGACTCTGCTTTCCATCTGAACACTGTAGGTATGACTAGCCTACAGTGCACTAACTCCTAGGCTTTGCCTCCACTGGAGAGACTGGGTGCGCTGACCATGGTGCAGCTCTCCTGGCATGGCAGTAGCACACCCCGTGTCCACGCACACGCTGTCCCCAACAGCATCTGGGCACCGCAGCTGTCGTCTGGATTAGATCTGCTTTGAGCACAGGGTCTCCAGCCTGCTGGCATCCTTCAGCAGGGCCAGTGTAGATGGAGATGTAATGCAAGAGCTCTGATAACGTGAACAGGAGCTCCACACTGCTTAGGCCTGTGTCTGCACTTTGCTGTATGGGGGCCAAGGTGTCCAGGAGCTAGGAACTCCTGCAGTAGCACTGCACACATTAAGGAGTTCAGCTGTGCACTATTTCCACAGCAAACATCATCTTCTGTGTCTGAAAACACAAATGATTCTATCACCAGCTTGTCTCGGAGGAGACCATCTGATAAACATGCTGCCAGCTGGCGTGAGACCGACATATGGCTCTGGTAGCCACCTGGGGAGAGGTCTGGGACCAGTTGAACCCTTTCACATGCATTACACTAGCCTAAAGCCAGATATCCAAGTACCAGTGTGAGAGAAGCATCGTCCGGAGCAGCAGGCAGCGCTACAAGAGCACGAAGGAGTGGAATGGGCTGTACAGAGCCCAGGGCGATACTGGTCTCGGGTGCAGAGTAGAAACCTTACCTGTCTCAATATTCAGCAAATGACGGACTCGCCAGCCAAGCATCTGAAGAATGCAGGACTGCTGTGGAGGGCAGCATGAGAGTGGAGAGCACCAGCTCACAGACGGTGTGAACCAGCAGGACGCAGTCAGGCTTGTTACTGCAATCTCTTCTCAGGGAAAAATGGTTTGTGAGGAGGAGCTGGGACAGCAGGTACGCGGCCTTTTATGTGATACCTACCACGACAGTGTGACCTTGCAAGCTGGGGGCTGGGAGTTCTCCAAAGTTCCTCGGAGTACCACCGTTCAACTGGCAGAGCCGCAAGACGGCAGAAGTGTCTGCTTCTGCACCTGCTGGGCCAGTCCACATTCCCTTCTCCATCAGCCTCTGGATAAGTGACAGCTGCAAGTCCGTCCCCAGCCTGCCTGGTTCAGTCCCCCGTTGTCTCCGGGCTCACCCATCTCCCTCCTTAACCCTGCATTTTCAACCATATGGCCTGCTGTGCCCAATTAGCACAGACCTACTTTAATTGGCAAGCACTGCCACAGATGAGCAGCCTTAGTGGCTACACTCAGGTGGCTGGAAAATGGGGGGAAAAATTCAAACCATCACAGAAACCACAAGACAAATGAGCATGACTGCAAGTCATCACCTTGTGTGCTATGGCCAATGCATCCACATGTGACTGCATCTAGTGCCCCATTACAGGTCGGCAGCCACTAATTCAAAAATCGCTTTTAACATACTTCATTTTGTTTTGCATTTAATGCATGAAATACAATTGTACATAGAAAAGAAGTGCACAGCTCATGCAAACTCTAATACCAGGACAGGATGGCCACGCACTGCCTCCTCCATGCTGACTCAGAATATGTGGTGCAGGTGTATTCCTCTTACAGATTAAAACCAAATTGTTCAGTTTAGCTGTTACTTTTCCCCAGTTGTCAGGATTTATATAGGAACATCTTCCCATACAAGCAATCCTCCTAACATCAATCTTTATGGCTGCCCTAATTACTTCCACCTATGCAGAAGACCACCACTACCTCCCCTACAGACTCCCCTGTTCTTATCCAAACCCACAGCTCTGCTGCAGGAGTCAGTCTTTTCCTTCTTCCCTCACTCAGCTGCTTTTGTCTTTCTTGCTGGGACTCTGCAAAATGGTGTGCTCAGGGTGTCTGCAATAAGTTCCACTTGCCAACTTCCTAGTCCCATTTGCCTGATGCCGTCATCACATGAACTCTCCATGCACGTCTCTTGTTCTTGTAAGTGCAGCGTGTGAATTCTGCTTTGTCTGTCAGCTGCAGCTGGAGGAGAAGGGCCTCATGGCTTCAGAAACTGAGCAGAAATTGTTACTCTTACCAGACTCCTTGACACTAAAAGCACTACATGGGTATTGCTGTGGTTATTGACTCTTCAATTGTCACTTTCATTTCAGAGACTCTTAAACCACTGTGGACATCCCAGAATAGGCACAAAGGCAGTGGATTGGAACCACAATGGTGGAAAGCCTTGCAAATTTCAGGTCCAGGAAAAGGAAATGCAGAAGCCCTATGTGAAGAGCGACTCCAAACACTTGTCCTACAAGGGAATAAAGTGCTCGTCTTTGAGAGACCTGTCAGGTTCAGCAGGAAGGCAGGGGAACCTTGCTGGCCTTTTTCCCAGAAGCAGCAAGAGCTGCGTCCTGCATTTGCATGGATCAGAGAGATGACGACTCTGGAAAAGAATTGTTGCCTGCCGCATCCATTCTCCACCTGGTTCTGGCTGCTGCACGTCCCTCCTGCACAGTCCCAGAGGCTGCCCCTACTCTCGTCTGTCCTGCTCCTTCACAAGATTGTGGAAAGAGGAACCCAAGGGAAGAGGCTTTTTCATGAAGTTTCTCTGTCTCTAGCTGTCTGTAATTCAAGCATGGCTGCTGGGTTTGGCAGTGCGGTTAGCTGTGTTTAATAAAGAAACTTCTGGAGGAGGGTCTGCCATTGCAGCATCATGCATGCTGTCCTCCCCTGACACTGCTCCCTTTCCAAAGGGAAGTAAACATCACCGAAGCAGGAGAGGTGTAAATGCACAAACAGTGTAACCCTGCCATTGCCAATCACAGAAAAGCAGCAGCTGGTTCCTCCATTACCAACAGTGTACTCTTCTAAACTCCTTAGAGACCAGGCCAGTGGGGTATGTGGGGAGAAACGTGGTCCCAGGAACACTCAGAGTTGAAACGAAAGATTCTTCCCTCTATTCTCAGCTGCATATGTTTGCTCTGAACATGTGCAACCCTAACACACTGCTGGCGTGGGCAGAATGCCAACAGCATGCAGCACCAACGTAAGGAACGGCTGTAAGTTGTACTGCCTTCACGCTTCATTGTTGCCCAGAGGCACCGCCTTGGCTTCACATGTGTAACAGGGCAGTGGGCAAGCATCGCTGCCTTGCTCTATGGCTACCGCCAGTGCTGTTCACAGGAATTGTGTCCTGTGCTCTGCCCACTCCTGTGAATTACCAGGCTTTGGAAACCCTGACATCACACCTTTGTCCATTCGTTCTGCATACTTGATAAGGAACTTGCCACAACAGGCCTCTGAGGCCTGCTTCCCCAGGGACCGTAACCCACCACAGGCTTGGGGGAGGGAGGGAAGAGGACAGCACAGACATGTGCTTCCCCCAGTAGCTCTAGCACTGTGGAATCGCTTGCTGATGCACCCCTGCAGCACACCACAGACCACCTGGTTCCAGAATGATTCCCCCTGACTGGCGGTCACTCGGTAGCAGGGTACCAGCAGGTGATCAGTGTATTTTCCCTGGGGCTCTTCATGGTCTGTTGAGATCAGCAACAGAGGTGCTGAAATGCTGCAGTACCTGCTGATTGCCCCAGGCCTCGAGTAACTCGGTTTTGCAAGTCTGAGTTATCCCGACACACACAAATGGCTCCATCCTTTCAGTTGCACTGTGCACAGTTGTCTGCTACTGGGGTGTGTGCGCCTGTGTTGCAAGTTACCCTAGGCACTGCTGCTTTCAGTAGCCAGCACCACCAGAACACCCTCCACCACATCTTCTAAGACAAGGCCTTTTGGCATTTGCTTCTGTCCTCTTGACTCCAAAAGCTCCAGTAGAAACCTTTCTTGATAAAGTGCATATCCTGACCTTCCCTCCTGAGAGAAGCAGGAGGGAGCAATAGTACCCAGAGGTGCTGGGAGCTTCCAGGATTCTAATCCAGCCTTTTCTTCCATAATCCCCCTGGCATGTCTGAAGGCCTTCTGCAATCTCCCACAAGTCACTGTTCCCTGAAGCCATGCCAGTTGCTCTGGGATATGTGCTAGGAGAGGAGCACAAGTACAGAGGTGGAGCAGAATGGGGACTGAAGCAGTCTGGCTAGCATGGAGCACCAGACCCATGGTGCTTACCCTGCTATATGCCACAGGGCTGGCTCTCCGTGGGGCAGTTTTCTCATTGTATTGGGGCCAGCTGTGCCTCCAAGGTTAAAGCTGAATTTCCCACTTAAAGCAGAGGTTTGACTTTGTCACATATGAACAGTACTTTGTGTCTGCCTCAGTGCTACCGTATTTGCTCTTTGAATAACTATCGCATTTCCTACCACTTTATCAGTAAATCTATCCATCAGTTTAATTTATTAAGGATTATTTCATTGATATTTAGAACTCTACAGCAGACCTTTTTTCTGTCCTGAGTGATTTCAGCTCAAACTGCAGATTTTTGGATCTGGAGCAACGGTAATTTTTGCAAGTAAATTTTTACGTCCAAAATGGTCGGTTTCTTCCCCACTATCCTTCTAACAGCAAGTCTGGTTGGTTGGCAGAAGCTGCAAATGTTTCCTTTCAGAGCAATTCAAGTAGTTCCCAGTGCATCTTTGCTCATTGCACTCATTGAGCCTGAACCTATACACAGGGCATCCTTGGCAAGGATGCCAACTTCCTCTATTCGCTTTCTCCTCCAGGTCTCCTCTGTCTCATGTCCATGTTGGGTGGCACCAACCTCCTGGAGGGCAGCTTGGCTTCACTCCCATGGAGAACAAAGGAAGGCTTTGATGATCCTTGCTATGGGAAGCCAATGCCTCAGTCCCACTGAGAGCGATGGGACATGGTAACCATTGTGAACAAGGGCACTTCCTCAGGAGCTTCTCAGAAAAAGCATTTTTATACATCCAGCCTCTGGGGAGGGACCCATTTCTGTTACGATGATAAGGACAAAAAAGCACAACCCAAGATACTTTTAAAAGAGTCGCACCAGATCCACTCAACAGTGGTGGGGGGAGGTGCTGACAAACGGGGCAAGAAGAGCTAGAGCATGCCCTGCACCAGAGGTGCTCAGGCCTGGAGAAGAAAGGGGTGGCCCTCCCAGCAGAGAGGGAGGATTTAGCAGTGCGTGCAGGGGGTGAGGACAGGGAGGGGAACTGATGCATGCTCTGGCAGTGCACGGCAGCTGTAAGCCCAGCATGACTGGCCAGTGTCATCTGGTTGCTTTGTGGCTGCAGAACCCACAAAGCACCCAGGGCATATGGGCACACCCAGCTCAATGTGCTGAGTTAAACAAGTATCACTTGTTATCTTCAAGTTATCAGAAATAGCCACAAGGGCCTGCATCCTGGGGCCTGCTGTTCTTGAACTCCTTACATGGCTAAAATAGCTTTGCAGGTAAAAACCCCTATGGAGATGCAGTGGATGCGGAGAGTGGCTGGCAGTCATCTGGGGAATGTATTTCACAGGGAGGTTGTAACTGTCCCCAGAGCTAGACTGTGCTCAGAAAAGGCCCCGTGTGTTCATCTCCAAGTCATCTTTCACACCTGAATAATCCTAACTCTGCCCTGTGGAGACATCTTGGGGGCAGAAAGGAGAGAGGGGAGGTGTTTGGGACAGTTTGAGAGAACACGTCTGATGTAATATTCAGTCTTGAAGATCAGGTTGATCTAATCTGGATCCAGAACACTAATCTGCACCCGTACCAGGTGAATGCTGTTGCTGATGGCAGACGTAAGGTGGTTTTAGGGCCCAGCCTATGCATTTCCAGACCTCAATGTGTCCATATTTCTTTTACTGACTCCAGATTTCAGGCATACACAGGCCTGCCTGTGATGGGAGGTGCTGACATTCTGCAGTTGGTGATAACCACATCCCTGTGATGCTTCTCCCCTAAGACTGATGACTGCTATCACAGAGCTCAGCTGCTAGCTTAGGGCCACGGTGAGAGCACAGTGCAGGGCCTACCAGAACGTGGGTCGCGGACATGTCTGGGCTTTAGGAGGACTCCTGGCAGCTGAAAGACATCTTCTCCAGTGCAGTGACAGGCAAGCAGAGAACGGTCTGTTTCTGCTGGGAAGGAGCGGGCTGTGTCAGTAAGAGCTTCTCAGGACCAGGGCCTGGGCAGATGCAAGGGTGCAGGTGTCCTGAGCAGGGGTCACAGCAGAGCCCATCCAAGGCTGGCGTAGAGGGGTTTTCTGGTGTGTGCAGTAGAGTTGTGCGCGTGCTTAGCTCCTGGGAAAATGCGCTGCTGAGTGTGTTGGGTGGCAGCAGCCTGACCCCTCTATTCTTCTGGCTGCCAGGGGAACAGGTCTTCGCAGGGCTGGAGGAACAAGCCCGTCAGGCCATGATGAAAACGGACTTTCCTGGGGCACTTGGGGACCCGCGGCCAGCTATCCACCAGCTGCAAGATCACGACTCCAGCAGTAGTGAGTTCTGCAGAGTCTGGGCACGGCATGGGGTGGCTGGAGGGCACAGCAGAGCGGTGCGTGCGTGGTGATGACAGTCCACTGCCTCGGGCTGCTGCGGGGCCTTAGCGTAGCTCCTTTCTGTTCCAGGTGACAGCGATGAAGAGGAGACCACGCAGGATGAAGCCTCTTCCCATACCTCCGAGGAGGACAGAGCAGTGGTTAAAGTGAAAAAGGAACTGGAGAACACAGAGCAGCCTGTAGCCAGGACCCAACATATGGCAGAGAATGAGGCAGGCGACTACCGCTCCTGCGGCGCATCCTGGCCCCTCCCCTGGGACAGGGGAGTTTGGTCATCCAGCCAGGTTGGGCTCAGGGTTCTTCCTGGCAGCGTAACTGCTCACACCTCCTCCTCAACCACAGCTGGTAGGAGGTAGGAAGGCAGTGCCAAGACTGGCTGTACAGAGCTGCCATGGAAGGGATGGTTCCTGTTGACACTCCCGGACCCTTTCCAAGGAGCTGACAGGTGTCCCAGCTCCCCTCCCTCTGATCTGCTTCTGCTTCCCAAGTCCTGGGTTTATTTTGCTGCCCCTCCCTAGGCTCCAAGCGCCTCCCATGGTCAGCAGTTGACAGAACTGGGCCCCATCACATGCCGGGGAGCTTGTTTTTCTCCCCTGTTGGCTCCACAGCCTCTGTTGTAGGCTTGTTCTTCCTCCTGCTTGTACAGATCGGCACAGAGCTAGGCAGGGCCTGTTACTGGACACACTGCGGACTGCATTGCAGTTGGTTCCAGTAGCAGGTGCCCTGGGAGGCCCCGGGGAGGGCTGAGCAGGGAGTCTTCCTGATCTGGCTTCTCCTTGTTCATAGGTGACAGAGAATTTGAATGCAGACCCCATGCTGGGGCTGTCACAGTGCCCACTTTGCCAGCTGGAGTGTGGCAGCAGAGAGCAGCTCATTGCTCACGTGTACCAGGTACAAAGCTTCTCTGTTGCAGGATCTCTGTGACCCTAAGCCTACTGCATCTCTAACTTCTGTAGAAGGGGCTTCTCCCTTCCCAGTGGCAAAGGGCAGTTGGGAGCCCTCTGAGCTCAGAGCACCAACACTGCTGACCTCAGCCCCAGATGCAGCTCGGAGTTCAGGGTGCCAACGCTGCTGGCCCCAGCCCCAGCACAGAACACAACCAACACCAGCCCCAGCCCCAGCTCAGGGCACCAGCTGCCGCTGGCCTCAGCCCCAGAACTTAGCAGTATTCAGGCAGAGCTGCATCCCCCGGCCCTGCAGGTTCTTGTTCCTCCCTGCTACCAATGAGACACCAGTTCCCAGAGCACTCTGCCCTGCCCCACACTGGGCACACTGCCCACAGCTGCAAGGGTTTGTGGAGCCAGTCATGATGCTGACCCCCAGGCAGAATGGGCAGCATTAGGGCTGGCCCACCAGATGGTCCCCAGCTCTCTGGCTTGGCGAGCACAGCTCTGCACACTTCTGGCAGCTGCCTCTCTGCTAGGGCAGTCGACTTCCTGCCAAGGAGGTGTCCCCTCCGCCCCCCACAGCGGTGGTGCTTCAGGAGCACCCATCCCACTACCTGACCAGGTGCTAAATAGTAGCCTAAAGGGCAGTGCTGAATACCATTTCCCACACTTAGGACTCGTGCAGGGTAGTACAAGGAGGCAAGCTCAGGGCTAGACAAGGGCTGCCCCAAAGGATGTGTGGGCACCTGCTGCGTGCAAGGCAGGCTCTGGATCACTGAACGCCTGTGGTTGCTTTGCAGCACACAGCAGCTGTGGTCAGTGCCAAGAGCTACATGTGTCCTGTGTGTGGCAGAGCCCTCAGCTCCCCAGGATCCCTTGGGCGGCACCTGCTGATCCACTCCGAGGACCAGCTGTCCAACTGTGCCGTGTGTGGGGCTCGCTTCACCACCCACGCCACCTTCCACAGGTAGGGGCGCCAGCCCTACCTTGGGCCGCCTCCCACAGCACTTGCAGGTGCAAGTGCACCACGAATTACAACAGCACTGAGCTGGGGAAGGGCTGGCTCTGCTCCCCCAGGGACCCTGCTTCCCACTGTCCCTGCCTATCGGTGGATGCAGATCCCAGGCTGATGGGACTCCATGACCAGTGCTGGTCCAAGAGGCTTCCCTAGCTCAGCGAACACCTGCCTCGCTTCATGAGAACACAGGCCTCACTTCTGTAGGAGAAGCCGGTGCTGCATCCTGTGCTCTAGAGAGCTCTGTCCCTGGTGCCAGCACAAGGGAGTCACATTGGCTTGCGCTGCTCCCAGCCCTTTGTTTGGTCTGTGGGATCTTCCCAGCAGTTCACGGCCCAGCTCCGTTTGCCTCTCTGGTACCACTGGGACTTGCAGGTAGAACCAGGAGGTGCCAGGACAGGGGCAGCTCAAGCTGCAATTCCCTCTTTGTTCCTTCTCTTCCCACCCAGCATTAGCTCAGGGCTGCCATGACCCCTTGCCCAGATGCTCCTAGTTCCTAGCCATGCAGAGGCAGGGAGGCTCCCCGCACAGCCCAGCTACTGTCACCAGCCTCCGCATTGCCCTTTGTGCCTGGCAGGGCTCCTGGCATCTGTGGCAGCACCGTGACTTTGCTCGTGACTTTGCTCTTTGTGTTTTGCAGTGAGAAGCTGCCAGAGGTGCTCAGTGCAGATCACCTCCCCACCCCCCGTGCTGAGGGCCCCTCTGGTGCTGAGGGCAAAGACACTGCCTTCCACGGCCCTGTGTACCCTGCAGGCGTCCTCCTCGTGTGCAACAACTGTGCGGCCTACCGCAAGCTGCTGGAGGCGCAGGCCCCAGGCGTGCGCAAGTGGGCACTGCGACGGCAGAATGAGCCCCTGGAGGTGCGGCTGCAGCGCCTGGAGCGGGAGCGCACGGCCAAGAAGAGCCGGCGCGACAATGAGACGCCGGAGGAGCGCGAGGTGCGGCGCATGCGTGATCGCGAGGCCAAGCGGCTGCAGCGCATGCAGGAGACAGACGAGCAGCGGGCACGGCGCTTGCAGCGGGACCGTGAGGCCATGCGGCTGAAGCGTGCCAACGAGACCCCTGAGAAGCGGCAGGCGCGGCTCATCCGGGAGCGTGAGGCCAAGCGGCTCAAGCGGCGCCTCGAGAAGATGGACATGATGCTGCGGGCCCAGTTTGGCCAGGACTCCTCCGCCATGGCGGCCTTGGCTGCCGAGATGAACTTCTTCCAGCTGCCAGTGGGCAGCGTTGAGCTGGAGAGCCAGCTGCTGGGTAAGATGGCTTTTGAGGAGCAGAGCAACAGCACCTTGCACTGAGGGCAGCCCAGGGACCGCGCCACTGCTGCACAAGCGCCAGCACCTTGCTCTGGGCAGCTCCATGCCCTCAGGTGGCTCTGCGTGGGGCCTGGCTGCCCCTCCAGGGCCCAGGGACTGGCTCTGCCCTTGCCCAAGGGAGCAGTATGGCACCAGGAGGTGTCTGCTTGGGCAGCACGGTTGGGCGTGGACTCTGGAGGCAGCCTGCCCTGGGGCCAAGCACAGCCTGTGAACAGAGGGAAAAATAAATTAATTTTATGTATGAGTCCCCTTCACTGCGTGTTGCTTCCCTCTGGTGCTCAGGCCCCATCTGGGCACCAGGTCCTGGCTGCCGTGGTTTGCTGACAGGCCATGTCCAGCCTTAGCTCCTTCTGGCTGGAGAGACCCTGCCATGGTTCTCAGGACCATGCTACTCCCACCCACCAGCAGGGGAAATGACTCACCTGCTGGGTATCTAACAGGGGGCAATGAAACCTGGAGAGCTGGGCTCCTCCACTGCTGCCGGTGCCCTGCTGTGTGCGCAGCACTGCAGCGAGTTAGGGGAGGCTTCCTGTTCAGGGGGCATCAGAGCACGGAGGAATACGCAAACCGAGGAAGGGAGTAGCAGGAGAACCTTGTTCTATCAGCACAGAACCGGGGGGAGGGCTTTGCAGGCAACACAGGAGCTTCCTGGATGTGCTGAGGCCCTGCAGACATGCTGGCCGGCAGATGGGTGAACAGGAGTGCAGCCGCTGGGTCAGGGGGAGAGTACCAGCATCCTGCGCTGTTGGACCAGGCGTGGGCCCCAACAGCAACTAGCCTCTCACCCTGATCCTGTTGCTGCCCTGCAGTGACCATGAACACCCCAGGCTGCTCAGAGAAGGATGCTGCTCCCCACTCCCTGCCCTGGGGTGCGTCCCCATGTGTTGGCATGGGTGGGTGACCAGTTCTGGCCACAAGAGAAATATACTGGAGAGACATCAAAGAAAAGCAGCTGAGGACAGATAGATTTTCCACGCACACCCTGGTTACTGTGACCCAGAGGAGACCCTACATGTGCTGGGACCACCGGAATGGTACAGAGGAAAGAGGGTTATTTTTTAGGAGATGTTGGAGACAAACTCTCTGCACCCTCCCCCTATGGCTAGGCTGGGATTTGAGGGTGCAGTGACAGATGTTATCAAGCACAGCCTAACAGCCCGCTATAGACAGGGTAACATACCGTTTATCTCAACAGCTTCATGTCTCCTACCCAGTACTGACATGCTATGTGCCCTGCCTACCCCATGAAGGCATTTTTAAAAAAGCACCTTGGTGTGAACTGGCTCTTGGAGGAGTCAGCTCAGTAGGCACCCAAGCTCTGGGCCACACCATGAAATCTGTCTCAATGCCCTGCCCTGGCTGTGTATGGCCAAAGTTAAACCAAACAAGTCTCCTGAATTCCTACAATTTTAGCATGAGGCCACTTTGCTCTGAAGCATCCCCAGAAAGCGACAATCCATCCTTCAGGCTGCCGAGCTGGAACTGGGGCAGAAAGCACAGGAGGAACATTCTTTCAGCGTCCTCAGGCTGACAGCGCGTGGACTAAGGGACTCCCACCGCTTCCCTCTGAAAGGATAGGACGATGTTGTGTCCGTTTCCCAGCTGTGAAATAAGTGCAGGTCAGGCCACACATCTCAGGGCCCAGCACCTTGTACTGGCATATGTCCTTTCTCCCCCAGCATTTCATGCTAAATGTCAAATCTGGGATTTACTAAGCGTATGCGATACGCAGCCTGACCGCAGGGACTTTCTACACCCGTGCCTCCAACTCAGTGCTTGCCCTGCTGGAGGTGTGGGCTGTGAGCTGCCTTCACTCAGCAGCAGCTGCAGTCTCCTCTTTACTGGGTTTTAGAACCAAACCTCAATTCCTGTGCGCACTACTACAGGATTTTCCTAATGGAGCAACCGCAGTTAAAACAAGCAGGTGAATCAGGTCCCTCCCCCAGAGCCAAGGCAGCTTTGTTTCCAAGAGAGCTTGTGGATTCCGATGCTGCCTGCTCGCCACATTCTTGAGTTTGCAGGTGAAAAGTTGGTGACAAAGTAAATACTCAGGAGAGCTCAGCTCCACAGCACAAGCTGAATCATGTAAGTAAAGCAGTCTTGTTCAGACCTGTGTTTTAATACAGCCGAACACAAAAACGTACAAAGAATATTGGCTGGACTTACAGGAAGCAGGACTTCAGCCTGGAAATCAGTGACTCCAAGGCGGCATGGGGAAGGCAGAGGATGAGCAGCCCAGGCAGACACTCAGAACAGTGCGGTGGCAGAAAGGATAAAACGATCCGTAGTCAGAGCCTGTTGCTGCATACAGGGAAAGATCTTGATACCAGAGGGCTCACCAACCTAGGGGAAACAGTATTAAAGAGCATCAAACGCTGGGAGCTGAGGCTAGACAAGGTCAAACTAGAAGCAGGCACAAGGTAACAAGGGTGAGGAATGACTTACCAGGCAGTGTGCTGGATTCTTCAGCGAGAGATAGCTTTCAAACAGACGACCTCTAAACTACATGCACTAACTCAACCACAGCTACTGCTCCCAGAATCCCCATAGCTGGGTAAGAAGTTCCTCGGTCTGGTAGGCAGGTAGTCAGATGAGCTATCATTATTGTGATGTGCTTTCTGGTTTCACAGCTCAAGGCTTGCAAAAATACAAGTTTCACTTTGCCTTCAAAGGGTTTATTAGAAGCTGAACTTTCTCACCAGTTCCGAGCTCCTTTACGCCCGTTTGCGTCGTGCTTGGTGCCTACGTACCACAGTAACAAGGCCTTAGAGCAGCAAGAAGGTTTCTGGATAGCACCGGACCATCTGGCAGCCTCCCTGCATTTGCAGTAACAAGCACTGTCCTCGGGAGCTCCCAGCTGCTTGCACCGTGCTGCACATGCCATCCTGCCACCTGCTGTCTTACCTTAACCAGAGGTGTCTCTCGCATTGCCAGTGCCTCTCAGATCAGCATTCCAGGAGCCCCTGCTCCCTCTCTGGTTCAGGGAAGGAAGGGGTTCTGCTTCTGGTGGGGGTCTCCCTTAGCTCCTGCTGCCTCCCAGCTGTCTTGCTCTGGCAGTCCCACTCCCTGCCAATCTCTGGCCTCTTCCAAATGCTGATCCGTGTTCTGGCCCACATGGCTGTCTAGATGGTGTGGGTGCCACTGTACATTAGAGCTAAGGGCATACAGTGATCCCTGCTGCCCACAGCACCTCCAAGGACCCCTTTAGTTCTCAGCATGGACAGAGGGGGGCTCGGGAAGAGAAGGTGGAGCTGGATGTAATGGTCTCCCACTTTTACCAACAGGCCCTTGCACTGACACAGGCCTCAGCCTCACAGTTACCTGCACAAGCCCAGGGAGCCACCCTACATGCCCACAGGAGCATGAGTGCCCGCAGGAGCATGGGTGCCAAGGACACAAGAAATCGCCACCACCAAAGGAAAAGCTATTGGTTTATATATAGAGATATAGATATATACTGTGTTTACATAGCCAACAAGTTAAATGCAATATTCATAAGAGCATTAACAATAAAAATACAATCTGTGTGTAGCCAAGTACAGACTTAAAATGGTAAAACAGGAGAAAGGATCTCACCAAAAGTACAAATATACAGTACAAATTGATTTATTCAAAACAGTTACAAAAAAAAGCACAACAAAATAGAGATTATCCTCAGAAGTATTAATGCTTTGTTAAAGATCAGGTAGGAAGAGGCAGGGGCGTGGTGGAGGGGAGCACCTGACTAGTTCTAAGGCTTTAGATACAATGCAGTTGGTTACATGTTAATACAGCCATTACATAACTGGGGTTATAGTTGAGGGATCAGTATGTATCTACACAGACCTCCTAGCCACGGGGCAGCCCAACCCACCTCCCTAGTGTGCACTTCCCTGCGTCTCCAGCCCGTGAACCTGTTGGTGCGGAGCTGGCCCCGACCGTAAGGTGCTGTGGGACCGGGGAGCAGCCGGGCCGAGCTGGAGCAGGGTCCCGGGGCTCATGCGCCCCCTTCTCCGTGCATGCCCCGGCAGTGGAGGGGCCCCACCCTCAGCATACTGGCTGCAGTACGCAGGCCGGGGCCACAGAGCAGGGGGCTGGGAGACATCGCAGCAGCTGCCTCTGCAGGCACAGGCAGCCCCGAGATGGCAGCAGCTGCGCGGGGCACCGGGGAAGGCACATGCCGCTGTGGCCCTGGGAGCGTCGTGGCCAGGATGCTCCTACTTCAGGCAGGGTGTTAGTTCTCTACCGGGGAAAGAACACTCAGTGTGAAAGTGCATTGTACGCGCTCCCTGCCGGGAAGGGCGGCAGGCGCCCAGCGGCACCCCCTTCCCAGCCAGGGCTTCCTCTGCATAGTCGGGTAGTGATGAGAGCTCTGCCGCTTGGACCTTGCCCTGTGCTCAGCGACGGGCCCACACGCCCTAGGAGCAGGCCTGGCCCCAGTGGGGAAAGGACCATGGAATGTCTCGGGAGAAGGGAAGAAGGGCGGCAGACCCCGTTATTGCAGACTGCGGAGCTTCCACGCCTCCCCACGCGCTGGGCAGAAGAGACCAGCCAGGGGCTGGACACGAGCTGCCAGCTGCCCCTTCCCTCCGTAGTGTAACAGCAGGAAAAACACTTATTGCTCTGGGAAGCCCAGCATGCCATTGCCATGGACAAGCTGTGGCCAGCCCACCCGACAGCCTCTCCCTTGCTACCTCAGACTCCTGCCCTCCGCACACCACACCCAGCTCCTCTCTCAGAAAGGTGACACGGATGCCTTGCAGCCTGGCCTGAGCCAGGGAGGGGAGATCCCACTGCCTGCCAGGCTTCAGCCTCCTTCCTGCTGGGGGCTCTGGTGCTGATGCCATGCATGGGCTGGCAGCTGGAACCCACCTTCTGACCATGGGCCTTGGCTGGGGGAGTAGAGCAGCAGTGAGAAGGGTCACGTCCACCATGGCTTCCTGCAGCTAGTTCTAAGCAACGCTTCCCCGCAGGCACAGGCAGGCAGTGGGCCAGGCTGGTAAGGGGCAATTGCACTCACTAGCAGCTGGAAGTGCAGAGGCCACCACCCCCTCTACCCAAAGCCCTGCCCTGTGAGCTGGTGGCACCAAGTAGAGGAGATGGGGGCCAACACAGTAACATCCAACACCAAGGCGCTCCCACTGTCAGTGGTGGGGGCAGAGGCATTTTGAGCTCAGAGGCCCTCAGAGGGGTCACCTCTGTGCACAACCAGTCCCTGTGCTCACACCCTGCGCACAACCACAAGTCTCTGTCCATACCACTACAGCCATGGTTACATTCTCCCCTGCTGAGTCTCCTGCCTTAGGCTGCCAGGAAGCCACAGGCCAACTGCCTACATGTGACACAGCAGGCCTACAAGCTGCAAGCAGGAGAACAGGAAGGACAATGTTTAGGCACAAGCTGGGCACCTGGACCAAATGGTGCAGGACAGGGCAGGCAGCTACCTCTTTGCTGCTGCTGCCCGGGGGACAGGAAGCTCATGCAAGGTCACTGAGGCTTTAGACCACGGGATTACAAGGACGGGCGGCCTGACCCGGGAAGCTGCAAGCTGCAGAGTCAGCACCCATGCCTGGGCAAGGCCACAGGCATGAAGGCTTGGGAAGTCAGTTATCTCCTGACTTTAGGACCAATATGGCAGGGAATGTGACTGCTTGCCTGGGGAGAGGCGGGTGCTGATACTTTGGAAACAACAGAAGCCGTGTCCAGGAGTGTTCTGGGGTCCTAGGGCTGGAGGCAGGAGAGAGGCATGTGCAAGGGGACATGTTCTGGGCACTGGGCTCCCGTGTACTGTAGAAGCACCAGGGCCAGCTCGGTCTGAGGCATATCAAAGGGGGATCTGAGTGAATATTAACAAGCTCCCAGGAACAGCTGCAACCAGTGTTGCAAAACAACATGGGACAGATCAGAGGTTCAGGGGGTGCTGACCGCCTTGCCCGGGCAGGGTGGTGCCTCCAGGCAAGAGACAAGCCCAGAGTTCAAAACAAGAGTGGCAACCGAACCAGGGTGAGAGCAGCAGGATCCCAGCAAGGGGATCAGGGCATGTGCCCTCCAAGAGACACCCACCCCCAGCAGCAGGATGTGGACACAGCTGACAACCTGAACACTACACAATGTCTACTCCTCCACAGAGGATGCCTGGGTCTCGTCCTTTCTTGACTATCCATGCCATCCGAGGCAGCTCCATGCAAGGCTGCCGGCATGACTAAGTGCTGCCCGTACAGTGTTATCCCTGAATGATGCCTCAGGTTCAGCCCATGTCCACCTTTCCCATGACTGGTCTCCATTCTGTGGGGTGGCTCAGCACTGGGACCCTGGGAAGAAGCCCCAGCACAGCCGGCACAAAGACACCTCTGGCATGGCCCAAGGGGTGGCAACGCTGCTCTGAATGCTCCCGCATGACTGGTGGCAGCGAATGCCTGGCCTAGACATGACTCTTCCATGTCTGTAACTTTTCTAGGGACTTCGCCTGGAGGGGGCGAGCAGCCACTGGGCAGACTTCCCTCAGTTGCAGTTCCGCGCTCCCCAGTGGAAGGACAGGTTCTCACCCTTGCTGCTGCTCCAGCTGCCTAGAAGCCTGCCTGCAGCTGAGCCCTGGAATGGGACATCTGAGCCAGAGGGATTTTTCCTTGGAAGCAAGCACATACGAAGGGAGGTTTGAAATGCAGCCTCGCCGGCTCCTTTGCTATAGCACCTGCCACTAGGAAACACAACCATCGGACTCAGATTCGATGGCAAGTAATTACGTCTGGCATTATCACAGGAACTACCAATACCTCCTGCCCCAGCTCGGCTGCCTGAGGCCCCTACTTGTCCACAACCCACTCCCCCACCTGGCCCTCCCTCTCTGGTTTCTATAACTCTTGCAGCGGTTTTGCTAGCAGAAAGTTCCATGGGACTGAGTGGAAGAGACATGTCAGGGAGAGGCTGTCGGAGAAACACCTGCCCCCACCCCAAGAGCTCAACATGTGAAGAAGTGTCCTTTTAAAGTGCATGTGTGAAGAGTGGGGAGGCTGGGAGCGGTGCCCCTGGCCCCCGCGGGGACCCAGCTCCCCACCACCATAGAGAGGAACAAACACTTCCGATACTGTATCTGCTACCGTGGGCTGTGGCTTCCTGGGTGTCAT